AATTAATGAAAATATTTACAAAGGATTCCCACAATATAAATGAAAGGAGGGTATTTAATTTGATGACTTCAATCTCATAGACAGACATGTGACAGAATTAATAATCATTGTCTCTTGTGGACAGAAGATTTGAAAAAATAAATGTATCTTCCTTTGCTTTTAAATAAAGAAAACTAAATAACATGTGGTTTGTAAAGTAAAAGAATATGTACATGGGCTTGAGAGTTTAAATTTTCTCTTGATTTATAGCTTTGTAAAAAAATATGTCCTAATTTATTTTGTTCCTTTTAATGATGCATGAAATTTATCATTCCTAACAAGAGAGCTTTGTGTATTAACATGACATTTTCTAAGCAAAGTTCGGAGCTATAAGAAAAATCAATTAGCAGTAGATGATGTTGCCTAATTTAAACAGTGTAGATAGTAAATACAGCTATATTTAGTCAAGAAAGCTAGTCAAAGTGTGTCACTGAAAGCATCATTTTATAGGTAAGATATGATGCTTTATGCTACCCTTTCTGACTGTGAAAATCATTACATACCATTTCTCTGTACGTAGTGATAAACCTTGAAAGGTAAACCTTGAAAAGGTAAATCCAGTGATTGCATCCATTATGCTGTCCACAAATTGGAGTTTACTTTTTTTTTGGCATTGGCCTTATAGAATGTTTTGATCAACAACATTATTTAGTATTTCTCTGGGCTGGCCCTGGAGTGGATGATTTATATTCTATATTACTATCTTTCTTAAGCTTATATTTGGAAATAAGATACAGTCAGATGAAATTATTACTTTCACAGGGGATTTGATCTTTTCCTGCTCTTTCTCTTCATGTTCTCTGCCATGCTAACTAATGAGTATGTCATTGCATGTGTGGATTCCTTCAAAAGTCTGGCTTAGGCCCACGAAAAACATAAAACAAAATAACCTCAAAGAGTCTTCCTTGGTATCCTCTGAGGCTGGAGGCAAACATATGAGGATACTAATATAAGAGTAAACTCTGTGTGTTGATCAATTATTTTGAATAACTTCTCTCAAAACAACTCACTTGGCACTAAAATGTATTTATTATAAGACTATGAGAACAAAATTCTATCAAAAATAACTTTTGCCTGAAATGGTTCATCATCTGATGTCAAATCCCTCCTTAATAATCTGTCTTAACTCCATTTTATTTCTACTGAGTAAAGCTGATATTAAAGACATCTGAAAGGCTGCCACTCACTGCTTCATGGATGCAATTATTGTGACGTGTGTCTCCCATCCTTTTCCAGGAGAAATTGTATGTTGTCTAGGATGATTGATTTATTACTACCTTTGTACTTGATTTGTCATTATTCATTATTTTCTTTGTCAAACAGACCCACACTCTTGTTCACATAATCACACAGTCCTGCCTCTCAATAAGCAAAGTGGCGGATGGCTCCCAACATCCTACCATGGAGACCTGTAATGATAGCACTTCGCAAAAATGGCTACTAAGAAACTATACAAGAGCAGAAGTTTTTAGACATATTTTTGGAAATCTTACTGATGATCTTTTTCTTTAATGGCTTGTAGAGGTTTGTGTTTCAGACTTCTTAAATTTGCTTTAGTAATTTTAGTTATCAAAATCTGAAATTTTAATAAAACATTCTGTGAAGTTATTTTTCTATCTTTTACTTCTTAGCTACTTATTAATTTGGAGTTTGGATATTTTAAGTAATAATTAGTCCATCTTTAACAAAACTGTATCTTCCAGTTTTTATTTCAAATATAGATATGTATATATATATATGTATATATTTTTACATATCTGTGAATATAATGGGTTAAATATATTGTGAAATATTTATTTTGTTTTAGCTCAACAATAACCATGTCTATATCAAAACAGATTGTGTGTCAAAGGTGAAAACATGACTAAATATAACATAGGCTAAAAATGACTTATTTTGGAACTTTGAAATTGTTTAAATTTGTTAAATTTTATTCAGATGGTTCAACTCTGTGTGTACCACATCTTCACATATTTTATAAATTACCATTGCTTTATTCTGAGGTACTAGATAAATCCTTTATTAAAAACTAAGTTATCTTGAACAGCTCATGGAAAAGCCATATCTACATATGTCTTCTGTGGTTAGATAGGTGATTTAATTATAGGAATCAAAGCTCTTCAAAACCATACATTTTACTTATCACTTTCATAATTTGTGACTATTTTCTCATTAAATAATTAAATGAATTTCTATTCAGTTGAAGTTAATAAGTGGCTGTGGAATATTTTTTGTAAACAGTACAAATAAAAGCATTTTTGAATTCTTGGATTTAAGAGGTTTTTTTAAACCAATAAATAAGTGATTTTGCATTGTTAGCCGCTGACTGTGGGAACACATGGGAGATTCCAGAGGTTTTCTGGTTCCAGTAAACCAGGAAAGCTACTGGCACACAATTGAGCTTCACTATTGGTGGCACAGCTAAGAACAGAAGCAAGGGGATAAGAGGGCAGAACAGGTATTGTTTGAATTAGAGTGCATTTGAGTGATGGACAACTCAGAGAAGAGATGGAAATTTGGAGTAGCCAAGACCATTTGCATGAAGAGGAATTGTCACAAGACAATTTATATGTAATATCTGAGTTTGTTTTCTAAGCCTCCAAATGTTCTGTGTGCATGCCCAACAGAATGTTTGGGGTGTAAACATTCAACCTTAAGAGTCTACCATTGAATGCTAGGGCAGAAGCATTCTCTCAGCAGGAGAGCCTGCATGGGTTCCCTCATCACTTCTTGCAGCTTCTGAAAGCTAGCTAGCTTTTCCAAAGGTCACTTTCTGGCATAAGGTTTTGAGATCTCCATCTGGCAAGTGAGGAAACCACTGTGCTGAGTAAACTAATTCTCAAAGTAGATGATAGCTCTGGTAAAAGCTCCATGGAGACGGTGCCCAGGAACCAACTCACAAGTTTCTGCTCTTAGGAAGACCACAGTATGTTTCCTGTCAAGCATGCGCATGCGCATTTTACAGGTCATTTTTTTTTTAACCATAAGCCATGTTGCCTCAACACATAGTTAACAGTTTTACTTTCACTTGGTTTCTAAGGATCTACAGTTCATTGACTGTAGTTCAAATGTTTGAGCAGAAGGGGAAGGAGAAGTATGAACATTTGTTAAGTGTAACTCAGAATTTTCTGATGAAGGATTAGTCTTCAGAATCATTTTAATGGCTTCCCCCAGTGCAGTTAGCTAATAAAAGAAGGAAATGAATTTATACTCAGCAATACTTGAGTTTGAAATGTTTGGCTTTCTAGTGTGCTGCATTAGCAGAGATTTTTTGGTTGCTCATTTTGTTACCTTTGGGGAAGTGGGTTTTAGCTACTAATAACTTTTTTTAAGGAGAATATTTATATATTGATTAGAAAGAACAATACTAACTAGAAAGTTCTGAACTGACATTATTTCTGTCATTAAAAAACTTTTTCTATATAATTTTTTAAAACTCTTTATTCCAATATGACAAAAGGTAATTGATCAAATCATTCAACTACTGTGATAAGTGATTACACTACAATAAAGTAACGACAGTATATTGTATAAGTCAATGTGTGGTAACCTATTCAATAAATGCAAAAATTCTATTTTTAAAAAAGGAACTATTAGAAGAATGCAATGGTAGGTGCTTTTTTAGAAGGAGAATGTACACATAAGCTCACTCAAATTTGAGACAGAGATGATTTTCTTTGTTGCTGTTGATCTTACCTACAACTTCTTTTTTAAAGGAAAATATTGTTTCTGTTTAGTTTTGTATCTGATTTTCAAACTGGCTAATTGTTGAATTTCCTGTCATCCTAAGAATAAACCAGCCATCTTCTTGCTATCTTAGGCAATTTCTTTTTTTCTGCATTTTTTTTTACTAAAAATGGCTTGATACTCTGTATTAAAAAATGACAACAAAGGCCTCAATCTTGACATCACCTTCATTTTTAATCGCCTAGCCTTTTAATTTCCTGCTGGTGGTCAGAGCGACATCTTTCCCAGCAGCCTGACCTCTATTCTCTCTTTTCTTACAGCAGTGAAGCACAGGATGAGTTATAGGTGTTTCTCTAGATGTTTACCACACATAGCCCCCAACATAATATCAAGAGTAAGAAAATATAAAAAAGAAGACTTTCCCAACTTTAATTTTAGCAATTTATAAAAACGTGTTTAGGATACAATTTTCAAGACTTACTTGCAAATCACCTCACATATGTGAGAGCATTTTAAGTTGGAGATCTTTCTCTGTGTTTCTGGACATGGCCCATGATATTAACAAAATAATATATAATTAATAGGTTCAAAGCATGTTGCTTTAAAACGTACTGGAATATGAAGTCCCAGAAAGTGAATTTCATTGCAAATGGAAAGAAAAGCTTTGTGATAACTAAACACCATGCAATAATTATTAGAACTGTGAAGTTAATAAAATACATCATCCTTGCTCGGTTTCAATTTAATATTGATAAATTTTTAGATTCTTAAATATGGTAAGCATCCCATGAAATAAGATCGATCATCTCTGGCTATTCTAATTGCTGGTCTACAGTTAATGTCGAAGAAGATACTATAGTCTAAGATACTATAGCTTAGTAGTTCTTAACAGGGTCATCTCTAGTCATTTTGTTCATCTGGATAACAGTTGTGTGGTTGACTTCTGTGTTTATCAAATTATTACTGACTAACACTAATATTTGTCACCATCAACTAATTTCCAAGGTCATAAATAAGCTTTTGACAAAAATGTCTGAATTTTCATCAACCAGTAATAATATCAGTCAATTTCTTTAACCACCTTCAAATAGTGGTGTATTGGAAATGACAAACCTTTTACATCAAAATTGTATATGTAACTTAGAGACACCTGTGCATAGTTCCTTTTAAAAACATGTTGTATTACTGTACATTAAAATGATATAGAATATTTTTGAAGAGCAGCTTTAATCTAATGTGCTAGTGTGTTACTAATTGTTGTTTATCTTTTATAGAGACTCACTTTGAGACATGTTAACAGTAACCAATGTCTTGACGAACCTTCTGAAGAAGACAAAATGGTGCCTACCATGCAGGACTGCAGTGGCAGCAGATCTCAACAGTGGCTGCTGAGGAACATGACCTTGGGGGCATGAACACCGTTTCTCCCAAGACATGAAAGTCTCTACACTTTTGTTTATCCATTGTTTCCATTTGGTGAAAATATTAACTTTGCCGAATTAAAAGTTTTAAAAATACTTTTAGTATTCTAAAACACAGTTGTTTATAATTCATTTCTAGGAATGTTTATTTCCCTACTAAAATTTGTATCTGATTGAAGAAGCACATAAAATATAAGTAATAGGAAACTGTTATTAAAACTTCGAACTGTTTGGGAAAAATAAACCTTACATTTGCTTTTAAAATGTCTTCATTACCCTCTTGTCACAGGGTTACTTAGGGTTGGTTTATTTTGTGTTGTAATAATGATGGAAGGAGAGATCATGTAATGCCTTATACTATATATTAATTATGAAATATCATTGCTTTATAAAATATTCTTTTTACAAAAGTTTCATGGAACCATGGTGAATTTCTATGCTAACAATTGGGACAAATACGAAATCATTCATGGGCATTGAATTTATCACACAAAATGTTCAGACCAGGAAAAAAATTAAATTTGTAGATTATAAAATAATCATACCAAATAAAATACTTAATACAATTTAAATAATAAATTTAAGTCAAATGATGAAAAGAGTGAGTCAGACATTAAGAAGGACAAGAACAATATAAACTCTAAGAGTTGCTGGGAGAAAAATCTTCACTTCCAACTCAACCTGAGGACAGTCTTGCTCTGAGAGGTGGTGTCAGGATCTGAATCCCCAGCTGCCCTCTCTATCTCCATATAATAAGCTGTACATTTGCCCTTCACTCTAGAACTGTAGTTGAAGGGTGACCTTTTAGATTTCAATTTTAAACAATTATTAATTACTTTTAGTTCAGCCAGTGATGTCATTGGCACTTTGTATTTTATTAAAAAAAAAGTATGGCACTATCATAATTTATTACTATGCTATAACATCTAACATTGATCACCAGTAAACAAAATTCATTAAATTGGTATTGATTAAACCACTAGACATGATTTGGCATCAAGTATGGGTCAGTAATAATTAGGACAATTTCATGTGTTATTTCAATGTTAAAACCCCTTGGTTCACAGTGAATGAACCGATGTTAGGAAAAACAAGAAAGAAAACAGAGATGGGATATTAGTAAATTCTTATATTTAATGCCATTTTAAGTGGCCATAGAGTTGTTGTACATGTATGTTTGATCTGTGTGTCTAGCAGCTGGAGAAACGGTATTGGGAGTGGAAATAGAAGAAGATTCTTCAGAAGCAGTAAGCCTGTTCTTTTGACCTTTTATTTTAAATGATCTAGAAAAAACATTAATTGGCTAACTACACCTCCTTTATCTCTCCATCTCTGATCTTTATCTCTGCCTTTGTCTCCTATGTCTTTGTCTCCTATGTCTTTGTCTCTCTGTCTCTCTGTCTCTCTGTCTCTCTGTCTCTCTGTCTCTCTGTCTCTCTCTCTCTCTCTCTCTCTCTCTCTCTCTCTCTCACACACACACACACACACACACACACACACACACACACAACTTTAGAATGCAAAAGATAACTTTTTCTCAAGACCTAAAAATTTCCTAATTTATTTTCCTAGCTGGCTTCCCCTTTGACTCCACCCTGTTAGAATTGTGAGAAATTCTAACTAAATGTTTTGGGTTTGCTGCTTAAAGCTCAAGCATCCTTTACTCCAAAAACTTCAGGGATTTATTAGACTCCCAAAATTTTAGACAAAATATTGAACATCAGGGCTTTTATTCCTGGGATAGACATAGTTCATATCATATCTAACAGGAATCCATGGCACTCAAGAGATAATCAACCTTAACCTGATCATGACCACTCAAGGCAACTGAAGCCTGACATCAATCCCATATTCAATTTTTTACTCTCTCCTACATTTTCTTCTTGTCCTGACTCAAATAATATGAAATCTCCCTATATAGTGTTTTTCTGAAAAAAAATGTAGACTCGCAAGAGTTATGTAGTATGTTCCACTTATGGCAATCAAAACACATAGAGTGGTCAGTGACATTTTAAAAGAATATAATTACTTAATGGGAGCTGAATTTGAAGCATTTCAGTAGCATTTTATGTAAATGAAATTTTTTATGGTCACGGTGAAATACATGAGAAGAACTCTCAAAGAGTCATCATGTGATTTGGATACATGCCACATAGTGCCTAAAAAGAAAAAAATAATAGGTGTGTGGGGAGACAGAATCATACACATCGAAATCAGAAAGATTTAAGGTCTTCAAAAGTGTTTACCCTTAGTAAAGAAAATTAAAGCCTTGATTGGAATCACAGTGAGTCTGTCACACACACACACACACACACACACACACACACACACACACACACACACTTGTACACACACACTTGCACACATAGTTGATCTGGGCTAGTAGATTTTCTCAATTATTTCAGTGTACACATTTCTCTGGGTTTTTCTCATAAGAATAAATGCAATTTTCACCTTCTAGATACTCAAGTCAAAACTAGAAAGTTGAGAACTGAGGGATCATTCACATAACTGGCAAAGTGCTTGCCCCGCCCCACAGCATGAGGGCCTGAGACTGATTCCAAGCACCCATATTTAAAAGAGCAAATAACCACTATATGTGGTGGCATGTGCTTTTAATGCTAACATTGGGGAGGTGAAGACCCGTGAATTCCTTGAGTTTCCTGACCAGCCAGATTAGCTTAATTGACAAGCTCCAGGCCAATGAGAGACTGTTCTTAAAATCAAGTTATGATGTCTATGATTGACCTTTGACCTCCACACATGTGCATTCACACAAATGCTTGTATATGCGTGCACACACTTAAGTACATATGTAAAATATGTAGTCACTTTTGACTTCTTTCTCTTTCAAACTTTTTAAGCCTATCCTACCTGTGTTTTGCTGTCTGCATGACACTGCCTGCAGCCAAAATTAACTAGGATTTGGCCCCCCCAAAAAATTAAACTTGTTCAAAATATTTTTAGATAGCCACACTTTTTTGATAACTGACTGCATTGTTATCAAGTGTTGATTTTGTAGATGAAAACATTGTGTTGCATTGTCCAAAGGTTGGACAAATTGAGTCTAACCATCTAGAAATTAACTTGATGCTCTCTTTGGTATATAACCAAAAACCAGTAATTTGTTACCACACCCACTATATGTTACTATTTCTGACCTTTCAAATCATAAGCAGTATGCATATAAGTATGATACCACATTTTTGCCAAGTCTTACCCAATGCTACATGTTTCCTTAATTACAACACTCACACAGACACTGCTAAGTATGAATTTTTATATTTCCCTGAACATAATCTTCCAATTAATTTTCAACTCATTTCATAGCTCTCATGTCTCTATAAGCAGACGAATGCACTCCACAAACATACGTGCACATACTCTCTGCACATGGATCCACACGTGTATATGTGAACACGTAGAGACATCTCTGTTTCTTAATCTCTTACCATCTTGCATTTCATAACACTGTTCTGGCTGCCAAGCAAGTTTCGGCATTAGTGTTGGCTCTATCTGTCCCGTAGATGTCATTCACTTCATTTCTTTAGGTTTCTATTCAAACATTACCTATTCAGTACAGCAAACTCTTGTCCTGTCTGCAATTTTTAGCCTCTATACCTCCGACCAAAAATAAGACCACTCTTTTATTTATGTCAATTACTGCCAATCTCATACTCCAACAAACACCTGGGAACACAATTACATTTATTTAGGGTAGTTTTTTTTTTTTTTCATTGCCAGGGCCACATCTTTGTAAGGTTAGCACTCTCTCACAGAGCTACACACCCAGTTATGTAAGTCCCTTTGAAGGCAGGGTCTATATCAGTTTCGTCTACTGGTTATGTTCGGCTTCTCGTGTTATCTTTTGGTATATACTAAGTACACTTCTTGAGCTAATGAAATTAAGAGTGTATTGAAGTTGCTAAGCAGCACTGCATCATATGTTTTCATATTTAAAACTCTAGAGTCCAGTAATGTCTTTACAGAAAAATTTTAGAGCTTTGTTTTCAAATGTTAATTTTTCCCTTATATCCTTCATATTAAAGTGTAGACTTTATGTTGTCGTCTTTGTCAAAATCTCCTGCCTTATGGAAATGAAATTTGCCATTTTATTAAAATGCTGCTGTAAGATAGAAGTTGCTTCACTTAACTGAAAATAACTATAGTTTCAGTGTTTTGGTTGTGTTAGGTTGATCACCGAAGGGCTAAGATTTTGAGTTTTAGAAAAGGGATAAGTACATTCTTTTAAAATCATATTTATTTTCATGTTTTGATGATGACTATATAAAGTTTATTTTCCATGTAAAAATCTAATAATAAGAGATATTATAGAAACCTTAAAACATTAAAGATGTTATACCATTAATTTCTATGTTTATAGATAATAGAACTGAGCCATGGAAATACAGTGTAGTTTGCCCAAAGATCATAGAGTTTTAAACTATGCTGCCAGGACTCCTAAAACTACTGCCAAAATATATATATAAGGGCACAATAATGAAAATAACTTAATTTAAAACTCTCTTATTAGTAACTGGATTCTTTAGAAGTATTTAAATCTTACTGTTTTTTCATACTTCCATAAAATTTGTCCAATGAAATAAGACCACAGGCAATAGAAGAAGACCTGCAGCACAGTGAAGATTTTCCTTGAAAGTATGTTTACAGAATTGTAGAACACCCTAGCATCAGTAAGCCAATGGTTTCAGGAACGCAGCATCAAGCTTCTTCAGTAGTAACTGATGGAACTCTGTCTCCTCTGTTTTCTTGCAATTCCCTTCAAGGTAAAGTAAGGCTGACCTAGAGCTTGCACAGAGTCTTAAACCATCTGTTCCCGTGAATATTGGGTGAGTTCTGTGTTTGCAGCTTTGCAGACTATGGAGAAACCAGAAAATATTTCTAGGCTTCCCAGTGTCTTATAAACATAATATGTAAATTTGATTTCTCCTTAGTGCTTAGGAACAACCCAATAAATAATAAAAATAAAGGAGGGGGAAGTAAACTGCTTAAACTGCTATGATAAAATAACATAATTGTTTTTTTAATGATTTTTTTTAATTTAGTGAGAGGTTAAGAATACAGTAGAATTGCTTCAACAAACCAGAATATTGGCTTGCTCCCATACATATTGTTACTCCATTTGAGAAATCAACAGACATAGTCATAGCCATTGCATTTTTATCTCATCTATGAATTTAAGCTCTAGTTTCAGAAGGTGAAAATTTTCTAAATTACAGGTATAATGTTCTGAACAAATGTGAAAAAAAAATTAAAGAGCTCATCGAATGTGAGTCGTTATCCTGGATATGTTATTTGTCCTATTGAGAACTTCCAGGCTTGACTAAATGTCCAGTTTGGCTGGGCAGCAGGAACTGCATGTGTCAAGGCAGCTTGTGTCTCAGGATGCAGTCACTAGCCACCATTATGTCAGAGAGGGAGTGGAAACACTCTGCATTTCTTCTGTACAGCATAGGCACGTCTGGTTTGACTGCACCATGTTCAGAGTATTATCAAGTACAAAATACTGTATAAAGCTAAGGTGTTGGATGACTCTAGCAATGTGCTTTGACTAGTTGGTATAGAAATGTTTCCCAATTTTTGTTTTATAGTGTTTACTAAACTATAAAGGAAATTTTCATTTAATTTGCTTTTCAAATCCCCCTGAGAAAGTAGTGATTCCACATGGTCTTTTGTCAATATATTTAAGATGAGGACCACTCTGTGATAATTGGGTCATCATTATTTGCAGGAATGCTTTACCGCCATTGTTAATGAGAGAGAATGAATCATTCTCCTATGTTGGGTGAATTAGAATGAAAAAAAAATTAGATACGTTTCCGCTTAAAATGTTTCTGAAACAGATGCTTCAAAACTGAAATTTTCATCCTGGTTTAATGGTGAAGCTAAAAACTTAAAGACACTGCTGTTTGGTTCCTGGTATACCTTCAGCTAAAAATAGCACAAGGGAGAAACAGGAATCCAGGGTCACAGAACTTCCATTGAGAGGGGTGGGAACCTTCTGTTTTTAAAATCAGTGTAGTCACAGCTAGAGAACGTAATCTCAAAAATGTTTAGACATGTTCCACACAGTCTTTAACATTTATAAAAGTAGATTGTGCATAAAGATTTAAACATTTTAAATGTTGTAAGCATTACTAAATGGTATAATTGTTCTTTTGCTGTAAATTTAAATATTTATACATTTTTGTAGAATTAAAGTATGCCAATTTAGTTTTCCTTTGGTATATGTTGTCTTTTTTCAAAATAAATTTTGCTAGTACTTCAAACAGATAATTTTAGTATTCCATAATTATGTTCTATTTTATAAAAGAGTGATTATCTATAGCCATGTCTCAGCAGCAAGAAAGTCTTGTAAACCCAGTATAATCTTATTCCCAAAATATGTAAAACAGAAGCATTGAAATATGATTAAAGTATTTATTATCTCATTAATTTTTATTATGAGATGATTGGAGACTGATTCTTTCTGCTCTGTAAAAAATTATTCAGAGAAGTTAAAATGCCTTCAAATACATGAGAATACTTATTTTCAGGTTATACCTAATTCCCTAATTCTGATATTGGAATATGGAAAACCTGTCTGTGTGATAATAGGTAGAGCCCTTTGGGCAGCACATTGGTTCTTTAGCACCAGCATCATAGTTACACAGAACCAAATCCAGGCAAAAGTATAGAAAAAAGGGGAAAATAGTAAACATAGGAAAGAAGGAATGGAGGAGGGAGGGAGAGAGGAAGGAAGAGGGGACAGATGGAGAGAGGGAGAAAATATTCCAGTGTTAACTACCTTATTAGTATCCATTTTAAATGTTCTAATAGATTAACATGATGCAGAAATTCAATGACTGGCAGCCATCATTAATACTTCAATTGTTTTTTCATAGTTGTCAACAAATATAAATGACATGAATTTTCCATTTTACATACATAATGTCACTTCTTGAACTTTTATAAGCCAGGTGGGGCTCGTGTATGCAGATCTGCAGCCCTTTTTTTGTTATTTTTATGAAAGAGCATGGCCTTGCACTTCCAGTCATAACTGGGTACTTAAATTCAGTGAAGCTGCCCTACTGGCCTAAAGTTTTGACAGATCAATATCTTATCTTGTGCCTTTGTGAACCTGATGGAAGAAACAGTGTGATCTCTTCTGATCAAAGGAAATGACGGAGGCCTCTCTGATTACTGGTTCACTTTCTAAAATAACGGTTCTCTTTTCTACCTTTCCTAGGATCTTTTGTACCACTCTCCTTCCATGATGACCACGAGAAGTGTGACTAATATTGAGAAGACTGGATCGATTTATACAGAAATCCATATACCTGTTTTGAAAAGTAAAATCCTAGGCAAACAAGCAAACATCTGAAATAGGTTTTAATTTTTTTCTGTACAATATAACATTTGAACTTGGCACAGCAATCATTCTTCATCTCCCACATGGTAACTTAAGTGAGGTAGAGGCTTTCAGAACAAATTGTGCAAAACACAGAGGTAGGAATTCTAATAGCCTTTATTGAGATTAAAGGGACCTGTGCTTTTAGCTACTGGAACTAAAACTTGCTTTCTTTATGTACATGAGCAGCTTGGCCTTCAAAATATACAATAGAGTGAAATTGAGTACATGTATTTATATATAGGACCAAGTGTATGTATGTAAAAATATCCCAACAGCATCTATTCCTATGAATAAAATGGGTGGTGGATCAATTTCTGCCACACACTTATCTCTTCAGAACTCTGGTTTCCATTATCCAGTGGACTATCATCTATTCCCTTTATGTTTCCTCCTACATCAGTGGCTCCCATGGTGTGGCCTCCCCAACCACTCTGTCTTTTAATATTGGATAGCTTCAGGATGCAGAACTTGATGCTCTTCTATATTTGTATTCACTAGTTAACCTCAGCTAGAACTATAGATTCTAAAACTTCTGGCATTTGGGTAACTAACAAATGTCATTTCCCAATTTAGAGCTTTTTGGTGTTCAATGACTAATAGACATTTTAGTAAGACTCAAACTGAATTTATCACATTCCCCCCACAGATGTTCAACTTAACTTAGTCCATTTGCAACGGATATAACAGAACATCCAAGATTGGACAATTTATAATGAATGGAAACCTATATACCTCAGTTCTAGAGGTTAGGAGATTTAAAGAGCACGAAACTTGTGTCTTTCAAGGGCCTCCCACTGAATCATTCCATGATGGAAGGCAGAAATCTAAGAGAAGTTAAGATCAAGTAAATGAGATCAGTATAACAGGAAGTAGGGTTTACATAAAACAGTATTTTTTAAGAAATCCATTTGAATAATAATTGACCTAAACCTGGGATAACAACATCGGTCCTTTCATCAGAAGAGAGCCCTCATGGCCTAAACTTCTTCTTGTTAGAAAGCAGTTCCCATCATTGCAATGGGGATGATATTTCCAGGATATGAACTTTAAGAGAAACATTGAAATTAGTGAAGCCAAACAGACGTTCCTTTTGAGTTTTGTATAAGTAATATGTCATGCTAATAACAGTGCTCAGAAGGTCTTGCCTAATGTGGCCCTGCAAACTCCATTCTCTCAGAATGAATATTTTCATCTTTACTTCATTTCAGTCAAACAGTCCTCAATAATTCTTTTCTTTTCTGTTTTTATTTCTTTTAAGACAGTGTTCCTTTGTGTAATAGTCCTGGCTATCCTCGAACTCATTTTGTAGACTAGGGTGGCCTCAAGCTCACAGAGATATGCCCGCCTCTGCCTCTCAGTTCTAGGATTAAAGGCATTCACATCCACCTCCCAGCTCAATATTTCTTTGATCAAACAAGACATGCTCTTGCTTTCGGGCCTCAACTCAGAATATTTGTTCCTGTGTGTATTCTTACTATTGCATTAAACCATAGTAAGGTCCTTTGTATTTCTGTAACCTTTCTCCCAACCCTCCTCTAGATGTTGCAGTCCATAATCTTGGTCCTGCAAGTTATGTTTCACAGTACTTTTCCCTGGCTCACATATTATCTAACTTAATAATGTATGACTTTGCCAGTTTAGTTGTTTATCACCCCTGACAATGTCTGTTCCTACCAAGAAGCCATCACTTGAATGGAGGTTAACCAGAGAAGGGACAACCATTTCACATTTCACTGTGGTGTATTACAAATACGAAGAGTAATACTGGTATGTCATCCCAGTTGACTCTAAATGGATTTTTTTTTTCTCCTTGTGTTGCTGGTGCACTGTATTCTATATGGGGGGTTGGCAAGGGGGTGGAGGTAGAAAGAAAAGAATTTTATGATTTTTCTTTTTGTTCTCTGTGTTGATCCATTTAAACCTCCTCTTCATTCTTTAAATGTACTCCTACTAAAAGGATTATACTCTTTCCTCATGGCAAAACTATTAATTTTTTAAGGGAGTGCATATACTTAGAACTTGAGAGAACTCCATAATTATATGAGTATTAGAGTAATTAAATTTGATATGACCCAGATGGGCATTTTTCTCTAATAGAAGCCTGGTCTTTTGTGATAGCATAATGAAATGTTAGCATGACAACGCAGCTGGAAATGTGATCAACCCCTGAATAATAAAATAATATTTGCAATCAAAGATGAACCTAACATGCAGATCTATTGTTTACTAAAGCTTCTTTCTAAAACAGCATATATACTGCATACAATGTCTATTATATACATTTAACAATATATAGTATAAAAGCATGTATTCCAAATTTGAAATACTGAAAGTGAGTATTTCCTGCTATCCCCTAAGGAACTCCATTTTATGAAACACTCTCAGGAGAAGGACAGACTGGAGCTCCTCTCCTCTAAATTTCTCAGAGATGAGGTGGTGCCTACCCTCTACTTATTATGGCATTCTTTAGTCTTACATCTACTGTTGGCAGGTCCAGGAGGGGCTATTCATTGTATTCTTCAGACCAAATATAAGAGTGCATGTTCTTACAAACTGAACTATTGGCACAGATTCTGAAATTTAAGGACTGATATTAGCATCTGACAGAGATCACTTTCATTAACAACCAGTCTGCAGAAGAGCCGTGTCCACACAGGTAAACATCCAGGCCAGGTTTATTTACTCTTAAATAGATCCTGATGCACAGAGTTGTCCCACAATTAGAATGTAGTGTGAGGAATAAGGATTATGAAACCGCATGAATTTGGTTGGCATCTATATGAACAATTTCCTAGTTGAACTAAAGTGAGCTAAAGCCTCTTGACCCCATTAATCAACAGTGCCCACTTCCACCTGACCTACAAAGGCCCTGGAGAGAATTAACCACGATTCATAGAAGGACTTGTCATCGCTCACCACATTTTCACCTGACTCAGTCATGTTCTTTTTGCAGTTCCTCCATATACAAGAATAACTGACACACAGAACGCTCTCAAGGGATTATATATATATTCCGACTTTGTCTTCCTTCAGGTTTTCACTAGGTTCTGTTTTGTACCACATAATCAAACTAAACCTTCTGTATTTTGTTCCTGTAGGTACAATGTACATTTTAAACTGTAGCAACCTTAAGGAAAGATTTTTTTAAGGAAAAAGCTTTTCAAATCAACTTTTATGAAAAGCAGCATATTATTGCTTTTGTTGCATTGTTTTCAATTTCATTCTGTGAATATTTAGTTTCAGGAATCACACTTCAAACTACCAAAACTTGTTAGCAAGACTAAAACAAAAGCTGCTTTCCTTCTCTAGCAATGTTTTATTAGCAAGTCTCCTAATATATATTTATTTTTAATTTGTAGGACATCCACCTAGTATATCACCAAATCAAAAACATTTGCCAACATATTTGTAGTACATCTTAGGTACAATTTGTACCTCTGAAGTTCCTATTGTGTTTTTGTAAAATGTTACATTTTCCTGTAAGTGTAAAATCTTGACCATTAGTACCTTGAAATGTTTCCAGAGGTTCTGAATAGAAAACATCACCTTCTATTCAGAGTAGTGATAACAATATGCTGTGTGAGGGTTGTGATGTGAGTTATCATTTAAGCAGGAAGAATCAATTATCTTGTGATACACTAATATCAACACCTTGAAAATTAGAGAAAGATAAAGACGGCCATCTGTTTTCATTTTTAATAATTCAGTGAAGAGTGACTAATAAGTCATAATTTTTAAGGAGCAAAAGGGAATCAGTGAAAGAGAAGAATAAAATGTCTCTATTGTACATTTACTCCACAGCTAATGTTTCAATCTCATTTTACGT